AATAAGATGGAAAAAAATATTGTTATCATGATGCAAAATGAAACTACCACTTAAAAAAAAATGGGAAAATTAAAGTTAAAAATTAAAGTTAAATTAAAATAATTTTAAAATTATAATATCAATCAAACATCATCTATCGTCCTCGACAACAACAACATCATCAACCATCTGAAACATTTTATTTTATTTATTATTATTATCTTTAATTAGTAAAAGGAAACAATAATTATTTTTTCATTAAAAAATGATGTATGTAAATGTCAAAAAAATGGTTTTTTGTAATAATGTATGTGCAAGTAAATGCTAACTAGATGAAATTAATTATTTTTTTTCAATTAATTAATTAATTAATTAATTAATTAATATTTATTTGTTTATTTTTTCCATTACTGCTTTTTTGTTTATAATACTGATGTGATGTAAAGTTTGTGTGTGAGAGAGTAATATATAAATATTAAGTTTGTATGTATGTGTGGATGATTCGTTATGTATAGTTTGTATGTATGTATGGATAATTAGTATGTATGTATGGATAATTAGTGGATTTACTTACTATAATAATAAGTATGGATAAATACATGCGCGTGTGTCCATTGATGTGTATGTTTATCCCGCACGATTGAACAATTTTTAGTAAGTAGTGGTAATATAGCTGGCATTTTGTATATGGCAGGTTGTGTGATTTTAAAATTAAAATTAATTTTTATTAGCCATAGTTGGCTGGCTGATAAATGAAAAATTGACCTAAAATGTATATATATATTTTTGAGATGGTAAATTAATAAATTATTAAAGCTAGTATCTTTTATTAATTGGGGTAAATTTATAGATTTAGCAAAATAGGTTAAAGTTACTACTGATGAGAGTAATTTTTTTTGTGGAGAAGAATAAGCGCACATGTAGGTTGAATAGGTAGGTAGAAATTTAGCAAAGAAACTAACTAAAAAGAAGTAATCAATTGTAATATCATAACAATAAGGAATGAATAAATAAGGAGGGAGAGAGGATCTTTAGTATTGTTTAACTATTTGTATGACAGAAATCATTTATTGAAAAAATAAAGATTTCAAGAAAACAAATTTATCATCACAATAGCAGTAGTAATAGTAATATTTAAAAAATGATTACTTTATTTGGCATACAATAAAAAAAAACAAATTAATATTAATTAATTAATCATTCAATTAGAAAGCTGTCAAGTTTATTTTTATTTGGATTTTACCAAATTACTCAAATTACTAAAAAGAAAAAACTATTAAAAGCGAAAATTTCCGTTATTAGTTATTGTTTTTGGATTATTATTATCTGATTACAATTGGAAGTTTGTGCGTGTGAGAAGAATGAATGAATGATCGGATTAGTCGATCGGATTAGTCGATTCAAAAAATATTTCTATTAGTCGATTTATTATTATTATTATTATTATTATTATTGTTGTTGTTGTTGTTGTTGTTGTTGTTATTTATTATTATTATTATTATTATTATTATTATTATTATTATTATTATTATTATTATTATTATTATTATTTATTTATTTATTTATTTATTTATTTATTTTCAAATCATAGAAATTTTTTCTTACGAAAAGTTTTTTAATAAAACATCCGCTGTTCTCCGTTGTCGATTTTGGGTGGATGATGTGCTTAGCATACTTAACATATGAATAAATATATATATATTGTATATATATGTATATATTTATTGTTGGGGGTTTATTTTATTATTTACTATTTACTTACTGTTTATTACTATTTACTATTATTTATTGTTTATTATTGTATATTATATACCACGCATATTTGATCAGTTGAGGGGGGGGGGAATTAATTTTTTTACATCAAAGAAATTTCTTTAGCTAGTTAATCTTCCAAAGAAACCACTAACCCTAAGAAGTTGCTCTAATTAAATTTCACATCCGCGTAACACTTTAAATTTAACTTTTTTAAGTTCTATTCCATCATCAACATTACGGTTATATCATCATCATCACCAACGCCGCTTTTAACAATAATGTAGACAATGAATTCACAAACAATATATATCTTTAATTATTATTATTTAATTTAAAAATATAATAAATTTATTAATTCGTTCAATTTCACAAGTAGTATCACACACTAACCATCCAAGTAATCAGATCTATCAAAGCAACTACTTAACTAACTAAATATTCTTTTTCATGATCTTTTTTTTTTTTTTTAAAGTTCGAAAGTTAGTAATATAAAGAAGATAATTTACTAAATTTGTTATTATAGTTTTTCTTTTATTGTTGAATATTATTAAATTTAGAAAAATAAAAATAAAATAAAATAATATAAAATAAAATAAAATATTTTTTTTTCAACAATCAAAATAATTATTCACAATCTCAAATCCACATTTAGAATATAGGAGAAGCTGATTAATTAATTCAAATAATTATTTAATTAATTAATTAACTAATTAATTATTAAATTTATTCTCTTTCATCTTCACCCATCATCATTCATCATCATCTTTAACAATTAATTATAATAATTGTAATGGTGACTTGACTTCTTTGGATGATTTCTTGTTCTCTCTCTCTAGTTTTATTTGCAAGTCTTCTTTTATTTTGTTTGTACTCTAGGATTGATTATACTCTAGGACTTACATTGCGTTACACTAACATAATAGACTTCTTCAAATAGAAAGTTGAAATAAAAATCTACTTTATCACCATCACCTACTAATTTAGATTATTGATTGAACCATTGGTTTTAACTATTATTAATCTAACTGTGAATTTTTTAAGCTAAAAATACCTTCACTAATATTTTTTATTTTATTTCTCCGACCAAAAATAAAATAATATTGGCGTTAATTTAAAAAAAAAAACCCAAAATAACGACGAAGCGACGACGACCGAATTTAAAAAAGAAATATTTCGGGAGAATCAGTATTTATTGAATTTAATAATAATAATTAATAATAATAATAATAATATAAAATAAATGATGTTATTATAATTTTTCTTGTTTTTTGTTTAGAAATTTTTTGTTTGGTTTCGCATTTTATAATTGGTTTATAATAAATATATTTTATTTATATTATATATAATGGATTTATAAGAATTTATAATTTATTATTATTTTATTTTATCTTATTTTATATAATTAATTAATAAAAAAAAAGCTATTTATAATTTTTTGGTGTAAATTTTATATAATTTAATCCAATTAAAACTTATTTCTCATATATAGAAGTGTTTCTTCTCTCATCATCAATATTTTATAAATACATATAATCTTTTCTCCCTTCTTTTTTTTTTCTTTTTTTCAATGTCTCTTTCTTTTTGACATCAAAAAATAATTTTTTTAGAAGAAAACAAAATTTTATTTTATATTTTTTATATTAAAAAAAAAATCACATTTATATATATAAACTCTGCATTTTTTATTTACATTTCGGACATTTTAATTTCTCAAATTCATCTACATCAAACATATTCATCAACAACAAAAAAAAAATATTTAAAAAGTTGTTTTTTTTAGATTTTATATTTTTTTTTTTTTATTTTCAAAAAAAAACAACATTTATTTTAGTAGAATAATTTGAAAGAGCAAGCTTCTTTACAAAAAAAAAAAAAAAACAACAATAAATATTATTAATTATTAGTTTAAAGTGATACCAAATCCTAAATTTTATTATTATATAAATAACATCATCATATTTAAAAATTGTTAATCAAATCATCAAAATCAAAAATTATTTTTATCTGTCTCGTCTTGTCTTCTGGTACGTGTGTGTGTACAAAATAATAATTTATTTTAAATTATATATTTTTTATTATCGTACTAATCTTTCCTCTCAATTTTTTCTTATTGGTTCGTGTAACCTTTATAATCATCAATCTTCGTTATCTTTATATTTATTTCCTTCACTTTTTTTACCTTCTCTTCTTTTTAATATTACAATATCTTATTTATATATATATAAATTGACCCCTTGTCCTTCCATACGTTCTCTTTTCCTCTTTCTTTCTTTCTCTTTACAAATTATTATAATCAAATCAAATCAATCGATCGATCGATCAATCAAATCATTCAATTGTTCAATTTTATTTGTTGACAAAAAAATTTTTTCTTTGTATTGAAAAAAATATTTATGTAAAATAAATGAATGATATTTAATTTTTTAGGGTTTTTTTACTTTTACTAGGTAAGCAAATAAATATTATTATTTAATAATTAATATTCCTTATATATTTTATTTAAATCATCCAATTTTTTACTATTTTCTTCTTTTTACTATTATTATTTTGTCATTCCTACCTCCTCTTTCCATTCCATCATTTTCCTATCCCTCCACCTCCTCCAATCTTATTTATTATTTATTATTTTTCGATAGTAATAGAATATATTTATTTTTTTCAAATCAATTCGAAAATTTAAAATTTCTCACGCCACATTTAATCTTTCCGAATCACAAGTTCACACAAGGTTTATAAATCGTTTATCCAATCTAAAAAAAAATTTTTTTTTTTCCAAATTTTTGCCCAAAAAATTTTTTTATTTTGCTAAATATATATATATATATATATATACATATATACTACTATACGTTTGTTATATATTATTTATATTAACAAAAAAGAATTCAAGTAATAATATAATTATTCTTTACATTCTTGAAATTTTATAGAAATAAATAGAGAGAAACCTAATCGCCGTTCAATCATCATTACTTATATACACACACACTCACGCACACATTTTATTTATCTGAACCAATAATCAAAAACTGTCCTATTTATTATTTTATTACAACAAATCATTTCGATAATAAACTCCTACTTGTCGTCGAACTGTCTGAAAGCAGCATTATATAACAAATATAAAGAACTTTTATTGGCGGTACATACAGACGCTTACATAGACATATATTTTATATATTTTATTATATAAAAAAAATATACATAAATATATAAATATACATACTATTATCTTATTATACACAATATATTTCATTTTATAAAAAATGACTGGTTTTCAGAATTCAAACAACAACAACAATAATAATAAGCTTTATACCGATTCATCTAACACCAATACTGCATTAACAACTACCGGTGGCACTACTCATTACATACAATCTTCACAACACCATCCCAACACGCCGCCTTCTCCTTCTACTACGGTTCCTACCGCAAACAACAACGCGTTACAACAACAAAAACAATTACTATCTTCTTCTCCAAATTCTGGTTCTCGCTCTGCACCAGCTATTATTACTTCACAATCTGCTTTTACTCCTTATAATAATCATTCTTCTCCTACAATAAACCCTACTCCAGTAACTACTCCTCCAAATACCTCTTCTACAAGTAACAATATCCCTTCAAAAAATAATAATCATTTGTCTCATCACAATAATCATAATAATCATCATCACCAACAACAACAACAACAACATCATCATCAACAACAACATCATCAAGATCCTTCATCGACAGCTGCTCCTACTACAACAATGATGACCACAACTTCCCATTTAGATAATAATGGTAGTAGCACTGCTGCTACTTTAATCTATCCTCCTCATAGTCATTTCCAAAATCCAGCCACTCATCAATTCTGGCAAGCTCAATGGAGTTTCGGTAGTCCTAATCAACCAAACGGTACCACCGCTATGATCCCAACTCCCAATAGCGCTTTTGTCCCTGCTGTTGGTTATGGCGGTAATTCTCTTGCTCCTCCAACTCATACTCCTCGTCCAAAACTTACCACGACAATTTGGGAAGACGAAGGTACTTTATGTTATCAAGTTGATGCTCGTGGTATCTGTGTTGCAAGAAGACAAGGTAAAAAATAAACCTAGTAAATTTTGAATGATAATCTTTATATACTATATATAATTATTAACAACAATAATATTATATATATATATATATATATATATAGATAATGATATGATTAATGGTACAAAACTTTTAAATGTTGTTGGTATGTCAAGAGGTAAACGTGATGGTATTCTTAAAAATGAAAAAGGAAGAGTTGTTGTAAAAGTTGGTGCTATGCATCTTAAAGGTGTATGGTAAGTATCAAAGATTTTAATCATTATTAATTATTTATATCTCTACCATATATATCTCTCTTTTCTATATATATATATATATATATATATATACATTCTAAACAAATTTTATTTTTTTCTAGGATCACATTTCAACGTGCTAAAACCCTTGCTACACAATTCAAAATAAATGAATTACTTTATCCAGTATTTGTCGATGATCCTAGTATCTTTCTTCATAATTCTTATGGTCCTGCAATGTCAACAAGAATCCCTTCAATAGGCAACGGTCCCGCATCTCAATGGAGACCAAGTCCTCATTATGTAAATAGTTTCGGCAGTTCTCAATACACTACTTCTGACGCTACAAGGCCATGGTATCCATATGGTGGTGGAAATGGTGCTACTACTCAAATGTTGGCTGCTGCTGCTGCTTCAAATAATCCTTCATCTCAAGACCACTCCCAAAACTCTTATCCTCCTGCTGCCGGTTATCCAGAACGTAATGGCAATATTCAAAATAATCCACCTGCTGTTCCAGTATATTCCACTAATGCTAACAATAACTCAAGATCTCATCCATCATCACATTCGCACCCACCTGCTCATATTGACGATTATGATACTGGTTATGGTTTAATAAATAGTCAATCGCAATCTCAAAATGGTGTAACTGTTGTATCTAATCAAAATGTAAGTGTTATATAGATGATAATATATATATATATATACATATATATATATAAAAATCATTTTAATAATTAATTAATTAATGATTTTTATTAACTTGTGAAGAATGAAGATAATACCACAACAAGTAATGGTAATGGATATTTAAGAGTATATAATAACTTTGTCGATAGTAATCACGCAAATGGTTCAACTAGCCAATTAATTGGTCAAAAACGTGGCTTTGTTACCGATGATGATAATGAAGATTACAACAACAACAATAACCAACCAAGTCCACCTCTTGCAATGCATCCTCCTCCACCACCATTAAACAATATTGCTTCTGCTACGATAAATGTAACCGCTGCTGGTTCATTTCCAAGTCCTATGAATATGAGTCCAAATTCTTCACCTGGTAATTCTGCTTCCGCATTCTCCGGTTGGAATAACAACAGCAAACGTATAAAGTATGACTATCCTGAAGCAACTACTCCATCATCGGCTCAATCTTCTCCTAGGATTAGTACTAATTATCAACAATTACCTGGTTTAGGAAATGGTCCTGCAACTCCCAGTTCTACTAATAATTCTACACACGGCTACACTAGCAGTAATCTTCAAATGGTAACAAATGCTTCTTCACAACAAAATAGTCCTCACCATTATTCTTCATCTTCATCCTCATCAAATAATAATAGTAATGCTGGTAATGGTTCTGCTACTGGTACAACAACACCTACAACAAATACGGATGGTTTAGTAGATCGTTATTTTGATCAAGGTACTGTTTTACATACACCTTCAACACCTGAAAATGTTGTAAACACTCCTGTTGAAGAACCAAATTCAATTAATGGAAGACGTTATGATCACCAATATAGGCAAAGAGAAGGATCTTCAGCTGAAGAACTTAATGCTACTGGTTGGGATTAGACAGGGTTGAGCAGGAAAAAAATAAAATATATTCACCACAAATTTCTTTAATTTTAAATAAATTTTTTCCCCTTTTTTTTTTAAAAAAATGTAGATTTTTTTTATTCTTTTTTTATATTCCTCTTTTCTTTTTTATATGCAAATCTTTTTTTTCTTTTCTCCATTTTTTTTTCAAAACAACTAAAAAAAAAAAAATTTTAAAATACACATTTGTAAAATATAGAGTTAATTAAAAAAAATAAATTTAAAATAAAAAAATTTAATAATTATCAATTTGATTGATTTTGAAATTTTGTAAAATGAGACGTCGTAAATCAAACTAATATCGCCACCATTAAAACCTTTAAGAATTTTTGACAAAAATGAGAAATTAAATCATATTCTTTCTTATTCATGCGATGATTAACAACAACTTCAATATGTTAGACGGCCATTTATTGCTTTTATATTTAATAAAATTTTTGTAATAATGTACAAAGTATAACATGCTATGTTGGGGGGGGGTTGTCATATTATAATTATATCAAATTAAATAACATAATGTCGATCAATAAGTTTTGTTTTTTGAGTGCGAAGCAATTATATGTATTTTTGAAATGCTACTAGTCCACAAAAAAGTAAGGTTTTGGTTCCATATTTAGGTAAATTGTAATACGGTATCTATAGATTTTTGAGGGGAGGAAATGCCAATGGTGAATAAACATTCTTCAAAAATCATCATATTCCAAAAAACACACACTTTCGTAATGGTAACTAGTCCGTGAAAAAAAAAAGATTTTATTGCTATTTTTGAATGTAATGTAGTATGATACCTCTAGTTCATCGGTATAGAGAGCCTTTTCTAATTTTGTCAATAAAAAAAAGTTTATGGGCTTTGGAGTTATGCAATTTTTCTTTTAAGGATAATTGGTCGATGTAACATTAAAAATTTATTAATATTGATTTACCATAATGACATTAATTATATTTGTGATTCTAATACTAATAGTATGACATCCCCCGATGTTATGTGCAAGCAGTGTTAAAATTTTTAATTTTTGGAGATAGTTATCTAAATTTGTACTAGTTACACGACGAAATGCTTGCAAGAGTTTATTTGTTACGTATAAAAAAAGTGAGAGATAATTTTGATCTTGTTGATGATCTGGAGTTAAAGAGGCTACCTACATCAGTGAAAATGACTGTTGTACAAAACGATCTACGAAGCTTTCCCGAATTGATTTTATATTTTATATTTATTCAGGAAGTTTATATAAATTTTCATTCAGATAATAAATAAAACAAATAATTTGAATAAGAGTTTGTATTACGAATAGAAAAAATATCAAGAAAAACTAATAAATAATACAACGAAGATAAATCGTGATCTGAATCATTTTTGCCTTTCTGCTCTCTATTGTGTTGTTGTTGTTGCTAACATTAAGAAATTTTATTGATAGTAAATGAAAATAAAGTTATTGTTTTAACCATTGTAATTGTTTAAAAAGAATATTGTATTATTATTATTATTATTATTATTATTATTATTATTATTATTATTATTATTAGTATTTTGATGATTGTGTTGTTTAAATATAATAATAAACCTGTTTTTTAGGACCTCGGACAATTATAATTGAACTGATATTAACAAAGGTATAAATAGGTATTTTTTTTTGAGAAACTGGTATGTAAAAACAGGGTAGAGCTAAAATAACTGGTATGTAAAAACGAGTATTTTAAAAATAAGTGGTGTGAAATTTCAGGGAACATTTATAACTGGAATGATATTGTTCGTACCACATTTTGTATGGAAATTACAGTTCACTCACTCTCTCTATAACGGCCTCCATTCTATAACGCACTGTGAATCAGAACCCAAATTTTTACTATATAAAAACCTTACTCTATAACGGTTTTCTTAATTAAATTTCCTATAGTGGATAACGGCCTGCTTCAGAAAATTCTCTCGTGTGTTTTACATGTTGTCTATAACGGCCGATGATCATGATCTGAGATAATCGTTACCAAATTAAGAAATTCAGCGTGACACGCTCAATTATTAAAATATTAATAATTCGAACGCGCCCCCATTGGAATTTGGAGCATCAATAAAAAAAATTGGCCTTCTGCAACATGTGCTGAAATGGCTGCTGCAACAGTTGCTTTATTAATTGCACCTAAAGACTCCAAGGTTACTATTTGCACAGATAGTAAATCAACAATAGATCAATTTAACAGATCTTTTAAGGAGCAATGCTACACATATCCTTGTAGTATATTTAAAGAAAAAAATTGCATCTTTTGGTCAATATTACATGATGTTATCAGAATCAAAGCACATGCCGGAAACATATATAATGAAAGAGTGGGTACTCTTGTTAAAGATGCTTTAAATCTCCCCATTCTTTCCTTTATCACTACATCCTCTCATATTAAATATGAGCCAAAGTGGAAAAACATAATTATTGATACTCATCTATGACATTTTATCAAACATACCTCATATAATAAAGGTTTTGCAAAATGGTATAACTTATATAGAAATAGAAAATATTGAGAATGCAACATAGACTGGAGTAATACTTTTTTTCATTGAATAGTGATGAAATTTCTAATGAAACATCCTTCCCCAATTCCAATCACAAAACTTCCAAAGTCAAATTTATGCTAGAAGAAATTCCAATGTTAGAGCATATTAAAAAAAGAAGACTAGATTTATATAAACATTGTGATTGTCTTCTCTGCCACAATGAAAAAGAAGATTTCAATCATGTCTGGTCTTGTCCTCAAAACAGACAGAAAGTACAACAAATCAGTTATGAAACAAAAGAAAAACTTTGCATTCAAATCAATAATAATAATAATAATAATAAAAACAAAAACAACATCAATTCTCCTATTCTCATGGAACATAGTACCATATGGTCTGTTGATAATGATCTGAATAATTTCACTTTCATTGACATGATCAAAGGTTTTGTTCCTTCTTTTATTACCAACTAAATACAAAAATATACCACAAACTCAAAAATCACTACTCAAATCACACCTATCATTATGAACAATATATATTTAAAAATCATGGAACGCATTTGGAAACCCAAATGTGAAAAAATGATTAAATTAGAAATTTCTTTAAATATTACTAAAAAAGAAAAATTAAAAAAGAAATACAACAAAAATTCCACCAATAATTCCTCTAGTAGTCTCAATAGAGATACAAATAACTTATCAAATGGTTCTGAGGGTTTAGAACATGCAATTACATCAGGTGGTTTCCTTTTGGATTATTATTACAATGGGCAATAACCATTTACTTTTTATCTATGTTTGAATCTCAGGTGTTAAATCTTAATACATTTTGGGCCTGGTTTAGTAGGTAATGGTGAAAGGTTGGTTTCATGGTGAACTTTATCAGTTTACTAGCAGGCAGTCATTTTCTTTTTGTGTGTAACTCATGTATTTTCATTGTTTTACAATTAATAAAATTATGTGACATTACCTCATTGTAAAAAAAAATATATATTAATAATTCGAATGCACTTATTGTCATTATTGTAAACATAAATACATTTGTCATATCTATCATCATCCTTTGCAGTTACAATATATTATTTGTATTTGAAGGATCATAAAAAAGAAGAACGTCATTATGACTTACTCTATGACTTTAATGTTAATTCATAAGTTTTGTTGTAATAATTATTTGTAAACATGACATAAGAAAAGTCAACCTCCTTATAAACATTTCAGAACATATATGGTGCGGGACCTCTTAAACCACCATTTACTGCGCCTCGCGGCCAAATTTCAAAAATGGGTCAAATTTTAAAAATTTTCAATTCATCTAAAAATGCAATACATAGGTAAACTCGATAAGTCAGCCGTGCATGGCTGAGCATGTTTGGCTGACTTATTGAGAGAACTGACTTATCGAGACCGTCTTACAAAGAACACGTGACATAAAAATTTTTTGTGTTAAAAATTTTATTATT